AATTGGATTTCGCCTGCGTGGTAGGTTATTTGTGTATCGTGATTAATGATTGAAACCGAATGGTGATCGATAATTGACGATTGAACTGTTGTCATCTGATAATGTAACTTGTTGATGATTGGTTGAAATTTTACATATAAGTATTAAATGGAATAGGTGAAACAAATCCGTGGCCTTATATTCCTTATCTGGTTTTCATATTATTTTTATAAAACAGAATACGTATCAAGAATATTCCAGAGAAAGTGTATAGTGGTCAGTTTCATTCTGGTCACTTTGTGTTTTTGTCGTCCTATTATCACGGTCAGTCGATGTCATTTGACTGTGGTGTAATCGTAGTTTTTATAAGTACACGTATTACGTCATTTTATCGCGGCCATTTTACCTACATATACTTACATGTATATAGTATACTTTCCTGTATGTAGGTAAATTAATCGACATCAGCCAATTTGTATTGGTTCGTTTATCGTATATATTTTCAGCACGAAATATTAACTGCCCTAAAGACATATTACAATATATATATAAATTGTGATAAACGTGACCGTTTTCTAACGTAAGAAGAAAGAGATTGAAATCAATAGTGTTTTCCGTGGTAGTTTGGTTTTTACTATTATATTTATAGAGATCAGAAATGACCATGTACCTGTCACACGCTTTATCTTTTCCTAGCAGAAGTCATGCTATTCCATATTCAGAAAGACATTCTTTCTTCTCTCCTTTCATCGAGATAAAATATTTTGTGAAATGTTAAGGTGTGGAACTTCCTAAGAAATTATAAAGTGTAGATATCCTGTTCATATATCGGGTCAGTTGGGTTGGTAGTGTGTTTGTCAAATAAATTTGTGAAAAATAATTTTAAAAAATCATAAAGGTTGATAGTGAAGTGTCGTTCTCTGATTAGTTGGCGGCAGACTCGATATCAACAAACACGTATCAGATAATACAGCCGTTCATTAACAGGATATCGCTGAGATATTCTAAATTTAGGTCCGATCGATCGGTACTGGGTCCAATTAGGGAACAAACCTTACACGTGCATGTATCATTTAAACTGGTTGCACGTGTTGACATTTAATTCAGATTTGGTAAAGTAGATAGAACTTCAGTCAACTTTACTGGCATGAGAAGACAGCGCCATCTAGTGCTTGATTTCATGTTGACTGATGACTTATTAGTCCGTACACACAAGGTCAAATTTCTTATTAATTTCAAGACAATCTGTAGAGTAGGCTGGTAGAGGTTGTATAGTGTGTAGATTTATAAACTGGCAATTTATAAAAATCAAAATCAAATCAAACACATTGGTATGCCCTACTGACACACTTTGGTATGTCCATAGTAACACACTTTGGTATGTCAGTAGTGATTCACTTTGGTATGTCAGTAGTGATACACTTTGGTATGTCAGTAGTGATACACTTTGGTATGTCAGTAGTGACACACTTTGGTATGTCAGTAGTGACACACTTTGGTATGTCAGTAGTGATTAACTTTGGTATGTCAGTAGTGACACACTTTGGTATGTCAGTAGTGATACACTTTGGTATGTCAGTACTGATACACTTTGGTATGTCAGTAGTGATATACTTTGGTATGTCAGTAGTGATACACTTTGGTATGTCAGTAGTGATACACTTTGGTATGTCAGTAGTGATACACTTTGGTATGTCAGTACTGATACACTTTGGTATGTCAGTAGTGATACACTTTGGTATGTCAGTAGTGATACACTTTGGTATGTCAGTAGTGATACACTTTGGTATGTCAGTAGTGACACACTTTGCTATGTCAGTAGTGATACAATTTGGTATGTCAGTAGTGATACACTTTGGTATGTCAGTAGTGATACACTTTGGTATGTCAGTAGTGACACACTTTGCTATGTCAGTAGTGATGCACTTTGGTATGTCAGTAGTGACACACTTTGGTATGTCAGAAGTGATACACTTTGGTATGTCAGTAGTTATGTCAGTAGTGATACACTTGGGTATGTCAGTAGTGATACACTTTGGTATGTCAGTAGTGATACACTTTGGTATGTCAGTAGTGACACACTTTGGTATGTCAGTAGTGATTAACTTTGGTATGTCAGTAGTGACACACTTTGGTATGTGAGAAGTGATACACTTTGGTATGTCAGTAGTGATACACTTTGGTATGTCAGTAGTGATACACTTTGGTATGTCAGTAGTGATACACTTGGGTATGTCAGTAGTGATACACTTTGGTATGTCAGTAGTGACACACTTTGGTATGTCAGTAGTGACACACTTTGGTATGTCAGTAGTGACACACTTTGGTATGTCAGTAGTGACACACTTTGGTATGTCAGTAGTGATACACTTTGGTATGTCAGTAGTGATACACTGTGGTATGTCAGTAATGATACACTTTAGTATGTCAGTCGTGACACACTTTGGTATGTCAATAGTGACACACTTTGGTATGTCAGTAGTGACACACTTTGGTATGTCAGTAGTGACACACTTTGGTATGTCAGTAGTGATACACTTTGGTATGTCAGTCGTGACACACTTTGGTATGTCAGTAGTGATACACTTTCGTATGTCAGTAGTGACACACGTTGGTATGTCAGTAGTGATACACTTTGGTATGTCAGTAGTGATACACTTTGGTATGTCAGTAGTTATACACTTTGGTATGTCAGTAGTGACACACTTTGATATGTCAGTAGTGACACACTTTGGTATGTCAGTAGTGACACACTTTGGTATGTCAGTAGTGACACACTTTGGTATGTCAGTAGTGATACACTTTGGTATGTCAGTAGTGACACACTTTGGTATGTCAGTAGTGATACACTTTGGTATGGTGTTACATGTAGTTAAGCAGTTTGGCATGGTGGAATTGTCATACTGCAGTAGCTTTGGTTTTGTAGGCGAGACGTGTACTTTGGCAGTGAATACAGATATGGTAGTAGTGACACGCAAGCATTGTGGTAGTTACACTTTGCTATGGTGAAGTAACGTTGTTTGTATGGTGGCAATAAAACACTTGGTATGGAGGAAGAGTAACATTATTTTGTATGGTAGTAACATTGTTTTGTATGGTGGTAGTAACGTTTTTTTGTATGGTGGTAGTAACATTATTTTGTATGGTGGTAGTAACATTATTTTGTATGGTGGTAGTACCATTATTTTGTATGGTAGTAACATTATTTTGTATGGTGGTAGTAACATTATTTTGTATGGTAGTAACATTATTTTGTATGGTAGAGGTAACATTATTTTGTATGGTAGAGGTAACATTATTTTGTATGGTAGAGGTTACATTATTTTATATGGTGGTAGTAACATTATTTTGAATGGTGGTAGTAACATTATTTTGAATGGTGGTAGTAACATTATTTTATATGGTGGTAGTAACATTATTTTGTATGGTGGTAGTAACATTATATTGTATGGTGGTAATAACATTATTTTGTATGGTGGTAGTAACATTATTTTGTATGGTAGAGGTAACATTATTTTGTATAGTGGTAGTAACATTATTTTGTATGGTTATAGTAACAGACTTTTATATATTGACATGAAATGTAGAGTTAATCTTTTACAGTACAGTCTAACTCATGACTGCCTTTTTATTACTATATAAAGAATGTTATCACCGAGGAGTCATCAATGTTCCTAGTTAAAACTTTATTTTATAACGGTAAAATTTAGGAAACATGCCGTTGTAATTACCATACATATGTTCTCCATGAGATTAGTGTTGCTCCCTTTTGACAGCTCTCATACACAGAGTGATTCATACATATCATTTTATATTTATAAAGAACGTAACGAACAACAAACGGAACATTAAGATATGGGATATGAAAAAGAAATGTAACATTTTTCGAAAGATATATACGTGCTGAAAAAATACCAACCTACTTCAACTGACAAAAATTTAAATATGGTGTATTGTTTTAGCAATAAGAGTAACTATTTTCAAATGTCATAATTCAATATAGCCCCTCCAACAACTTGTTCGTGTACTTAATTAAGTTTTATCTGTTTTGTTCATTTTCATCAAATGTACACTAACACTCATTTATAAAAAAAAATGATTGCTAGGTAGCCATCTTGAATTTTGAATGGTGGTCAAAATGTGATACACTAAGCTGAGTCACATGCATTTGCGTGCACTTGACCTGTTCATTAATCCAATATTATATCTTCAGCTATTCACAAGAAATATCGGTAAGAAATTTCAAATGTTAAAACAGAACGAAGTCTATCACAACTGGAACGCCCCTGAATAGATAACCTTAAGTGGTTACAGACAATTGTTGACAATAGGGAAGGACCATTGTCTAAACGCATCCGGTCATAGTGATAGGCTAGTGCAATTAAAGGGGAAAATGCGTCATGGTTACTTTCCTTTGTAATATACATGCTATGCGAATTATACAATAGTATAGACCTTGACAGTAAACGTTGATTACATGGACTCTGTAAGTAAATGTATTGTCTAGCAATATTGGTAAATTGTAGATCCCTGCGTTCCAAATTCCACGTTTCTCTCAAGTAGTCTAATTTTCTATGGGCCATGTATTTCTTAATATGCACGCGTCATGCTTAAATACCGATTTTATGACATATAGTACTCCACCGTTCAGTATGGAACCTCCTGAACACTAAAACAGCCGATGGTTCTTTGAACCTTTTAATCGATATTTTAAATATACTCTATTTCTGAATGACAACTTTTATTGGAATATGGTATTTGAGAGGTGGTTTCGGTTTGATTGTCTCCCTTGTTACATATCGCAGTCAGAACTGCTTTTCTGTAACCGGTGTACTAGACTCTTTAGAACGAGTTGTCTCCCGTCCATTCTGTTATTCAGATGCTTACGTTTGCAAATGAATTGCCGTCATAGACTTACATATCTAAAACATTTTCGTCATCGACCAAGACTTAATCATTCCGAGTGAAGAACAGATCGAGAGAGAGTAAAAAAGAAGAAAAAAGAAAACTTAGATGCGTAATTGTGTAGTTAGAATCATATTTATTTAGTAAGCAAAGGTCGACGTGAATAAGCATACACTAATTTTTTAAATAAAATTGCACAAACGAATGATGTAGCATATTATGGTAACACTACAAGCAATATTTCCCATCAAAGCTACCTATGAATTATCATATAGTTCCACAACCAATATTCAACATAGGACAGAGTTGAGTATTTCGCGAGTCAATAGGGAAGAAATCAACAAAGTTATGAAGACAACAAAGCGGACAGTATTTTGCATATTTCCATTAAGACCTTTTCAAGGTACAACATCAAGAATCATGACATACCAAAGGGCTACAGTAGAGATGTGTTCATTAAAATGATGATATTGAATACGCCTACTGGATTCGTTCCAGCATATGTTCAAGTACTGCAAATATTTAACGTCTTCTATGTGTAAACTCCTACAGCCGTATACAGTGTAACGGTTTACAGTCCGTTATATCAACCTCTCAAAACGAGTTGTTACATGTTAAAATCCATTCTGATTAAATAAAATGTTCATGTATATATAAGTATTTTCCGGTATATAATGCCCCGCAACCACTAATGTCTTTAGACTAAATGTGAAAACAAACGGTGTGTAAGGTCGGTTTTCTCAGAACAAAGCGAACCGCAAGCGATCAGGCATTAACATTGTCCATAAAAGGTCGTAAGGCGCTCCAGTCAACTTCTCCAGTTCTATCTAGCAGCTGCTGAAGGTTGAAATGCCTTAATGCCTTTGCAAGGTCAGCACGTACCTGTAGGATCTCCCCAGTCGAACGCTCTGCAAACAGATTGACCGCGAGCGTGCTCCTGTTGTGAAAATTGCTTTCGGGAAAATATGCACGTAGGCTTGGATTGAAGGAAAAAAATTGTGGCAAGTTATGCCTGGTCAATGCGGTATTCAGCATGAAGACAAGGTATCCGAGGGCTTCCGATACGCTTGACAACGAAATGGCATTGACTTTGGTTAAACACAATAGACTATGTAGCAGGATATTCTTGATGTGGTACGAAGTGAGAACAGAGTGCAGCTGGGAGCTAGTATTCCGATCTTTATCCTTTACTCGAAGACCTTTCAGGATTCGCGCAGCGCGGACAAGACGTTTACCGGTAATATTTCCAACACCCCATTTATCGAAAACGTGCATTTCAAAGTGAGAGTGTGACACGCGCCAAACTGTGGTAGGTTCTGGAATACGGACAGTGCGGGTGACATTTTTAGAGCCTGGAATCCATCGTGTCACCACAAACTTCCTTAGTGACGAAGTGGCAGCAGATATTTCGAAGCCTGGGACGACATCGATGCTTACGATGTTTCCATTTATCTTGACGTCCAGCTTGATGGCTGGTGCGCTGGCCTGTCTTCTGATTTCATAAGAACGCCACTCAGGGTCTGAGTTGAATTTCTGGACTGCTGCATCTATCAAACTTTTGAAAAGTTTGTCATGGAACACATCTGAACGGACATATTTTTGACCGCCTCTTTCTACAAACAGGTCAGCTGGTCGGATAGCCACTCTATTGCTTATTTTCTCGATGCATATTTCTGCCAAACCAGGAGGCAGCTGGTTTTGGGGGGCCTCTCTGATATCTGAAGTGATGCCGACGAAGGTGAATGGCAGTAGTGCGTCAAACTCATTGGCAGCCCCGACCTTGAGGCCTTCCCGAGATCCTCCTTGTTTCAGAAATGGCTTCAGTCTCAGAAAAGTATATGTCGATTCAGCTTTTTTCAGCTCTTCGTATAAATTTTTCAGAAACTTATCGATTCTCATTTGCACGTCCTGAAAAGTTACACCTCTGATATTGACAAAGTCGTCGTAGAATCGTTTCAACTCCCGGTCCTGGACGCCACACCAAACAGAATCATCGTTAGAGGGAGGTAACCAGCAGTTAGGAGCACTGTCTCCAAGCGGGTACCAGCTCTCTCCACAATCACTGTAATGATAAGTTCATGGGAAATCGTTACTGATCATCTGATATGTTACATGTTCATGTTTGATATTGACAATGCAACTAAAAATTCCATTTTAACTTTTTTCTTAATAACACACCGGAATTCTGTGAAAGAGTGACACATGTACCAACAGCACGAACATAGTTCTAACCGGAAGCTCGACTCAATGCGGTATTACGTGAAATCAATTTGAAACAACGAATGGAGTACTTAACGATCAGAAAATGTAGGGGGTGATAATCATTCACCTCTGTGTGATGTAGACAGAAAACAATCGCTGATAATAATGAAGTTTGTCTAGCTTCCCACAAAGCCTCGCCTCAGGCTTAAGTGAAATAAACGGGAATGCATCAGTAAACTAGCATATTAAAGCATTGCACTGATACCAAATGGTAGTATACAGCCGATATCAATACAACTATTAATCAAAAATAAAACTGGATTGTATGTATGCAGGTTCTGTTTACTTTTTGTTACTGGCGGCCATGTTTGTTTACCTTGGAGACACTATCAGCTGTATTCATACACTGATCTCATCACTGTAAATTGTAGTAAACAGTCTCTTATACTAACGACATATAGGCAAAAGCAACACAGCATGTAAATATATCTATATATTGTGCAGTTTGTAGAAAACCTCAACGCAAAATTATCATTAACATCATATTGTTCTCAATGCATTATCAACAACGCCGGTGTAGCATGGTATTGTGTAATATAAGGAAATGACCCGGAATATACATGGTGAAAGGAATCCCCACATGGTAAAGTTAAGCAACCTTATCTTTTGTTTCCAATTGATGTATCTTCACTTTAATTTTTATCCTTTTACTTCAGTATGTTTATACATAATGAAACACTCATTTCACCAAGTACCCAATACTGTGAAGGGAAAACACATCGACACCAAACCTAATGTTGTTATGTGATGCACCTTCACCCAGTACCTCATGTTGTAATGTGATACCCCTTCACTCAGTACCTAATGTTGTGTTGTGTTGCACCTTCACCCAGTACCTCATGTTGTAATGTGATGCACCTTCACCCAGTACCCCATGTTGTAATGTGTTACCCCTTGACCCTGTACTTAATGTTGTAATGTGATACCCCTTGACCCCGTACTTATGTTGTAATGTGATACACCTTGACCCAGTACCTAATGTTGTAATGTGATACACCTTGACCCAGTACCTAATGTTGTAATGTGATACACCTTGACCCAGTACCTCATGTTGTAATGTGATACACATTGACCCAGTACCTAATGTTGTAATGTGATACACTTTGACCCAGTACCTCATGTTGTAATGTGATACATCTTGACCCCGTTCCTCATGTTTTAATGTGATACACCTTGACCCAGTACCTCATGTTGAAATGTGTTACACCTTGACCCATTACCTAATGTTATAATGTGATACACCTTGACCCAGTACCTCATGTTGTAATGTGATACACCTTGACTCAGTACCTCATGTTGTAATGTGTTACACCTTGACCCAGTACCTAATGTTGTAATGTGTTACACCTTGACCCAGACTTTAATGTTGTAATGTAATACACCTTGACCCAGTACTTCATGTTGTAATGTGATGCACATTGACCCCGTACCTAATGTTGTAATGTGATGCACCTTCACCCAGTATCTAATGTTGTTATGTGGTACACCTTGACCCAGTGCCTAATGTTGTAAAGTGATACACCTTCACCCAGTACCTGTGTTGAAATCTGATACACCTTGACCCAGTACCTCATGTTGTAAAGTGATACACCTTGACCCAGTACCTAATGTTGTAAAGTGATACACATTGACCCAGTACCTAATGTTGTAATGTGATACACCTTGACCCATTACCAAATGTTGTAATGTGATACACCTTGATCCATTACCAAATGTTGTAATGTGATACACATTCACCCAGTACCTAATGATGTCTTGTGTTACACCTTGACCCAGTTCCTATTGTTGTAATGTGATACACCTTGACCCAGTACCTCATGTTGTAATGTGATACACCTTGACCCAGTACCTCATGTTGAAACGTACAGTGATGCACCTAATATCATACAGTGATACACCTAATATCATACAGTGATGCACCTACATCTTGACCACCGTACCTCATGTTTTAATATCATACAGTGACCCAGTACCTATATCATACATGTGATACACCTTGACCCAGTACCTCATGTTGTAAGTGATACACCTTGACCCAGTACCTATGTGTACAGTAATGATACACCTACCTCATACACCTTGAACTTTAATGTTGTAATGTAACACCTAACAATATTCATGTTGTAATGTGATGCACATACCTAATATCATGTGACAGTGATACACCTAATATCACCCAGTACAGTGATACACCTTACCCAGTATGTATTACAGTGATACACCTAATACAGTGATACACCTTATCATACAGTGATACACCAGTACCTAATGTTGTAAGTGATACATACACCTTGATCCCAGTACCTAATATCATACAGTGATACACCTAATATCCATACCAAATGATACACCTTGATACCCACCTAATGTTGTAATATACACCTTGACCCAGTACCTATACATGTGATACACCTTGACCCACCTAATACCATACAGTGATACACCTAATATACAGTGATACACCTAATATCATACAGTGATACACCTAATATCATACAGTGATGCACCTAATATCATACAGTGATGCACCTAATATCATACAGTGATACACCTAATATACAGTGATACACCTAATATCATACAGTGATACACCTAATATCATACAGTGATACACCTAATATCATACACCTTGAGTGATACACCTAATATCATACAGTATACACCTAATATCATACAGTGATATACACCTAATATCATACAGTGATACACCTAATATCATACAGCGATACACCTAATATCATACAGTGATACACCTAATATCATACAGTGATACACCTAATATCATACAGTGATACACCTAATATCATACAGTATTACACCTAATATCATACAGTGATACACCTAATATCATACAGTGATACACCTAATATCATACAGTGATACACCTAATATCATACAGTGATACACCTAATATCATACAGTGATACACCTAATATCATACAGAATTACACCTAACCACATACCTATTATCATACAGTGATACACCTAATATCATACAGTGATACACCTAATATCATACAGTGATACACCTAATATCATACAGTGATACACCTAATATCATACAGTGATACACCTAATATCATACAGCGATACACCTAATATCATACAGTGATACACCTAATATCATACAGCGATACACCTAATATCATACAGTGATACACCTAATATCATACAGTGATACACCTAATATCATACAGCGATACACCTAATATCATACAGCGATACACCTAATATCATACAGTGATACACCTAATATCATACAGTGATACACCTAATATCATACAGTGATACACCTAATATCATACAGTGATACACCTAATATCATACAGTGTGATACACCTAATATCATACAGTGATACACCTAATATCATACAGTGATACACCTAATATCATACAGCGATACACCTAATATCATACAGTGATACACATAATATCATACAGCGAAACACCTAATATCATACAGTGATACACCTAATATCATACAGTGATACACCTAATATCATACAGTGATACACCTAATATCATACAGTGATACACCTAATATCATACAGTGATACACCTAATATCATACAGTGATACACCTCATATACAGTGATACACCTAATATCACACAGTGATACACCTAATATCATACAGTGATACACCTAATATCATACAGTGATACACCTAATATCATACAGTGATACACCTAATATCATACAGTGATACACCTAATATCATACAGTGATACACCTAATATCATACAGTGATACACCTAATATCATACAGTGATACACCTAATATACAGTGATACACCTAATATCATACAGTGATACACCTAATATCATACAGTGATACACCTAATATCATACAGTGATACACCTAATATCATACAGTGATACACCTAATATCATACAGTGATACACCTAATATCATACAGTGATACACCTAATATCATACAGCGATACACCTAATATCATACAGCGATACACCTAATATCATACAGCGATACACCTAATATCATACAGTGATACACCTAATATCATACAGTGATACACCTAATATCATACAGTGATACACCTAATATCATACAGTGATACACCTAATATCATACAGTGATACACCTAATATCATACAGTGATACACCTAACCACGAACCTAATATCATACAGTGATACACCTAATATCATACAGTGATACACCTAATATCATACAGTGATACACCTAATATCATACAGTGATACACCTAATATCATACAGTGATACACCTAATATAATATCATACAGTGATACACCTAATATCATACAGTGATACACCTAATATCATACAGTGATACACCTAATATCATACAGTGATACACCTAATATCATACAGTGATACACCTAATATCATACAGTGATACACCTAATATCATACAGTGATACACCTAATATCATACAGTGATACACCTAATATCATACAGTGATACACCTAATATCATACAGTGATACACCTAATATCATACAGTGATACACCTAATATCATACAGTGATACACCTAATATACAGTGATACACCTAATATCATACAGTGATACACCTAATATCATACAGTGATACACCTAATATCATACAGTGATACACCTAATATCATACAGTGATACACCTAATATCATACAGTGATACACCTAATATCATACAGTGATACACCTAATATCATACAGTGATACACCTAATATTATACAGTATTACACCTAATATCATACAGTGATACACCTAATATCATACAGTGATACACCTAATATCATACAGCGATACACCTAATATCATACAGTGATACACC